GCCGAGTGGATGGTGGACGGGCAGATGGGTGGACCAGGGGAGGGGCGTGTGGGTAGGTGGAGGTCTGTGAGTGCACGTGGATGGGCATAAACGGGGGGTCACTGACTGGGTGGTTGGGGATATGGGAGGATGCGTGGATGTGGGAGCTAGACACTGATGGGTGATTGGAGAGGTGTGAGTGTCGGGGGGTGCTGGATGGATTCGTGGCTACACAGGGGATGGAGTATAGACAGGTGAGTGGAGGATGGGTGAGGCTTGGAGGGGCTCTTAGTTAAGCACGAAGGTCCATAGCTGGGCAGGTGACCACAGGGACAGGAACGGAAGGGAGTCAGTGGGAAGACAGAACACCGACAAGGATGCCTGCTTCACAGACCCACGGCGAGGACGATGTGCCAGATAGGACCTTCTAGACTGCCGCTGTCACACCCCCCTGGGATGTTCTGGGAAAGTCATTATCCATCCTGGGACTCACATCGCCTGTTAGGGAAAGTGATGGTGTGTTTTATCATCAGTAGGCACTCGAAGGTGAAACAGAATTAAACATACAGAATTGATTGTAGTCAGTCAATTCCAGGTGAAGTCGCTTCCAGCGACCCTGAGGGAAGAATGTTTTCTTTTGGTCATTGTCCCTGGGCCTGGCTTGAAGGCCCCTCTGCCTCTGCCCCACAGGAGTGGCTGGTTCCCTGAGGCCTATGTGAAGGCTCTGGAGGAGGGGCCCATGAATCCCATGACCCCCATGACCTCCATGACCCCCATGACACCCATGACACCCATGAAGCCCATGAACCCGGTGAACGAGCTGCCTTCCAGGTACCTGAGTCATCAGGAGTGGGCGGGGGCGAGGACTCCAGTGAGGGTGTCACTGCCCAGCTGGGAGGATCTACAAGGTGCATTCTCGGTTTTGTTTTTGTGTTTGTTTGAGGAGTCTTGCTCTGTCGCCCAGGCTGGAGTGCCATGGCGAGATCTTGGCTCACTTCAACCTCCACCTCCCAAGTTCAAGCCGTTCTCCTGCCTCAGCATCCCGAGTAGCTGGGACTATAGGTGTGCACCACCACGCCTAGCTAATATTTGTATTTTTATTAGAGACGAGGTTTCACCGTGTTGGCCAGGCTGGTCTTGAACTCCTGACCTCAGATGATCCACCTGCCTCAGCCTCCCAAAGTGCTGAGATTACAGGCGTGAGTCACCTTGCCCAGGTGGCAAGGTGCAGTCTTGAGCAGGCCCAGCCCCCTTCAGCCCCTGGAAAGCCACCAGGCCGGAGCCCCTCTCTCTGCACTGAAGGTCACTGTGTCCACCCCTCTGCCTCCTGTCAGTACCTTCCTCCAGTCCACAGTCTCCTTTCACGCAGGTGCGGGGAGGAAGCTATTGGATGCCTCCTCCCTAAGGTGCTGCAGCCACTGGCAGGACAAGGGATTGGCTGGGCCTGCCCCAACTCCCTTTCCTCCCTCCCCTCCTGTCTCTGGACTTAGATCCTACCCACTCCGGGGCAGCCACAGCCTCGATGACCTCCTGGACCGGCCAGGCAACTCCACAGCACCCTCGGAGTACTGGGATGGTCAGTCCCGCTCCCGCACCCCAAGTCGGGTGCCGAGCCGTGCCCCTAGCCCTGCACCTCCACCCTTGCCCAGCAGCCGCCGCAGCAGCATGGGCAGCACGGGGGTGGCCACTGATGTCAAGGTGAGCCCTCACCCACCGTCTCCCAGGGCCTCCAGTGGGTAGGGAGGCAGGACAGCAGGAACCCTGAGGCTGTGTCACTGTGTGTCTGACAGGGGACCCTCGCACCTGGCCTCCGTCTGCTCCTCAGTGCAGGAAGGGGTGGCTCGGGCTGAGTCTGGGGTGGAGGGGAAGACCAGGGTCCCAGGGCAGCGTGTGGGCTGGGGCTGGCTGGCAGGATGGGGCTGGGGGAGGCCAGGGAGAGCATCTTCTCATGGAGCCACCCCAGTCTTATCGTGGAGGCGTGGTTAGTCCTCCGAGGTGATCCTCTGGCCCAGGGGTTTCTAAGATCTGCAACCCACAGAATCCTGAGCTTCAGAACCTCAGGGTCTCATTTCCCAAGAGCCTGGCATGGCAGGGGTTCTCTGGCCCTATCCTCTGCACTATGGGCATGGGGATCGGGAAGGGAGGAGCATGGAATTGCTTGCCCCTCTCCCTACCAAACCAGCCCTTCCCCACCCCACTGCAGAAACTGATGTCCTCGGAGCAGTACCCACCGCAGGAACTCTTCCCGAGGTGAGTCCTCAAACAGGGGTCAGAACAGTGGCAGTGGGGATGGCAGGTGCGGCAGCACACACTTGTAATCCCAGCTACTAGGGAGACTGAGGCGGGAGGATCTTTTGACTCCAACAGTTCAAGACCAGCTTGGGCAACACAGTGAGACCCCATCTCTCAAAAAAGAAAAAGAAAAAGATTAAATGGGGCAAGGCGTGGGTGGAGATGGAATAGGGGCAGGAGGCAGGACCTGGCACAGCCAGGTGAGGATCATCCGCCCCTCTCATCCCCATCCTCTCCTCCAACAGGGGCACAAATCCTTTTGCCACCGTCAAGCTTCGCCCCACCATCACCAATGACCGCTCAGCGCCCCTCATCCGCTGAGGCAGGGTCTGAGGTCTTACCCCCTAGGACACCTGCCCAGGGACTGTTCGGAACTAGCAGCGGCAGCGGCGGCAGCAACAGCAGCGGCTACAAGAAATGGGGCGCTGAGACCAGAGGTGGCTGCCCTTCTCCAGAGCACCCCGGCAGTCCGAGCAGCTCTGAAGCACTGGCTTGGGGTCAGAGACCTTCAAAGTAAAGCAGGCAGATTGGGGGGATAGGACAATTTCTTTCCCTCCAGGGGCTCCAGGACTCTCCCTGGGGGACCTACGTCTTGCCCCCCAGCCTCTTTCCCCCTTTTTGCCCCCATGGAGAGGAGCCCCTTGTGCCCTCTCCGTGCCCCACACATGCCCTCTCTGTATGTACGTCTTTTGTAAATGAAAAATAAAGGAAGTGGACGCGGCTGCAGGATTGGTGGTGTCTTATTTGGGGGACGGGGCAGGGGGTGAGGGATGGAGACTCCCCCATTGGAAAATGGGGTCCAGAGAGTACTGAGGTTTCGGCTGTTCTCCGGGAGGCCATCTCACTCCCAGCCCCTCGTTTGGAAAATTCTTTAGGGCAGCCTCAAAGCCCTCGAGCTGCAGCCCCCCGTCTCCACCGCTCATGTCTACATGTGGCTTTCTGAGGAAGTAGTGGCTGCTCGGGTCAAGTGGGGGGGTGGCAGTGGCCGAGGGCTGGGACCACCAGCAAGCTGCCCTCAGGCAGCCTGGACACAGCACCCTTTGTTCTGCCCCCTCCCCCCCAACATTCCCAGGCACAGGCGTGGATTAGCTTCATCCTGGAGAAAGCTGCTAGCCCCTCCTGGAATGTGGCCTGCAGGGGTAGGGGCAGATGAGGCACTGAGGTGATTAGAACTGCTTGGTTCTCTCCAAGACAGGGCTGTGCCCCCAGCACCAGACTAGGACTCCCTGGGCAGGGTCTCTGTGTCCCCCACCCCAGGCTCCAGGAGGTGGAGGGGCTCTCTTCTTGCCTCCTGGACTGGCTGGGGACAGAAAGCCCACCGGAGAGGCCCAGCCTGGCCTGGGGCTCTCAGTCTCTTCTCCCCTCCTGGACAAAAGCCTCTTAGCAGGGGTGGGGTGTGGAGGGGGCACACACACTAAGCCCCAGGCCTAGGGGAGGGTGCGTCAGGCGGAAGTCAGCCAGAGGCTCAGCCCAGGCTGGTGGGAAGCTGGGGCGTCTGCAGCCCTCATCCGGGTAAGCTTCACAGGGAGCCTCGAAGGTGGCCCCTCCCTGCAGGCCTCAGGAGATGTGAGGCTGGACCCCCCCAAACCCACGAGGCGGGCTCAGGTGAGTGTGAGGTGAGAGTTGCCTGGGATGACCCTCCCGTCTCCACCTTCAAGTGGCTGCCCCTTTGACAAGAGGACAACAGACAGGAAAAGCCACAAACAGGTCCTAGTGAAGGAGGGGCAGAGTTCCAGATGCCCTGGGGGGGGGGTGGCACTGCTCAGTGCCAGGAGGGACACTCCAGACAGGAGGGGAGGAGGCTATCGCCAGCCCCCGACTCCTGGTGCACCTGTCTCTGAGTCCACCCTCCTCTTCCCTTATGGGGGCGCTTGTAGCCACTGCGAGAGTCCTGGGCGGAGCCCCAGATATGAGACAGGCTTTGGAGCCATTCTGTACACGGAGGGGCTGAGGTTTGGAGGGCAGGCCTCTCTCTCAGTGCTCCTAAGGGCGGCACCTGTCTGGCAGAAGCCAGAGACTTGACCCCTCTCCCCCAAGATTCCCAGTTGGCCTGGGGGTGATCAATCACCCATCTTACATCGGAGGAAACTGAGGTTCAGAGAGGGAAGGGACCGGCCCAAGTCAGGAGCGAATCCATGGCTGAGCTGGGATGCATGGGAACTCAGCTCCCCTGGCTGATATCTGCTGAAGGTGGCTTTTGTCCCCTTAGTGTTCTAATGACAATAGTCATTTCTGATCACTGAGAAACAGGAACATGATGCAAGGCTAAAGAGGAAACAACACTCCACGCACACTGGCCCTTTCCAGAGGCATCTGGCTCTGCGTTTCTTCCGTGATACCGGAGACCCTCCGGCTTACAGGACGACTTCGGCGCTGGACGCCCACTTCCAGGCACACACCTGCTGCCCGAATCTCCACTTCCCCACGCCTTCCACCTGAGGTCCCGAGGGGCCAGGAGTGGCCAGCAGTGTTCTCCAGAGGGAGCCTGTCCGAGGTGCAGAGTCAGGTGGGACCCGTCGTCCTCCCGTTGTCCTTCAGCGTCCTTTGCAGGAGGAGACTTGGGGTGAGAGTCCTACCTTTGTTTCCCCTTTTGGTTCCATGACCTGAGCCACTCTCACGTGGGTAGCCCTGTGCCTCAGTTTCCCCATATGCGTCTCCATCCCCCTCCTTCTCTGGGCTTCCGGCCCAGCCACTCCCTCTTGTCCCCGACCCCCCCCAACAGAGGCAGCGATGGGCGCTGGCGGCCCCCGGCGGGGCGAGGGCCCTCCAGACGGCGGCTGGGGCTGGGTGGTGCTGGGTGCCTGCTTCGTGGTCACTGGCTTCGCCTACGGCTTCCCCAAAGCCGTCAGCGTCTTCTTCCGCGCGCTCATGCGCGACTTCGGCGCCGGCTACAGCGACACGGCCTGGGTGTCCTCCATCATGCTGGCCATGCTCTACGGCACGGGTCAGTGCCCCCGCCCGACCCTCCGCCTCCCCGGGGCCCCTGGGAACCGGAACCAGCAGACACCCGACCCCCTGAGCGACCCCCTCGGGGCGGCCTCGGAAATCCCTTCCTTCGGGTGGAAACCCTGGCATCAGAAAGAGGGGAAGGGAGGGCGGTAGGGGAACAGCGGCCAGAGGCGGGACCGGCCCTGAGGGCTGCCCTGAGAGCTCAGAGGGCCCCTTCTGAGACCCACACCCGCCCATTGTAGAGGTGGGGAAACTGAGGTCTACAGAAACACCTGTCTTCCCCGCAGCCCTGAACACCTGTAGGTGGGGGCTTGCTGGAGTTCCCATCCTGGGAGGCGGAGCTGAAGGGGAATCCCAGGCTGTGCCTGGCGGGACCTGGAGGCTGCGAAGGTTAAAGGGGTGTGGAAGCCACCCCTCTGCTTGGGGTCTGGATTCTTAGGAGGGGTGGGGATGGGGTGCTCTGGCCAGGACACCTCCTTGCCCTCGCAGGGTGCTGTCCCTTTGGCCTGTCCCCTCCAAGCTGTGTGACCTTGGCCAGACAATTCCCTCCTCTCTGGATCCCTGAGCCAGAGATGACCTTATTTCTTAGCGGACTCAAGCCATTCCAGGGCTCGGGTGGTGACCCTACCCTGCCCACAGGCCCCGTGTCCAGCATCCTCGTGACCCGCTTTGGCTGTCGCCCGGTGATGCTAGTGGGTGGGCTGCTGGCTTCCGCGGGCATGATCCTAGCTTCCTTCGCCACGCGCCTCCTGGAGCTCTACCTGACCGCTGGGGTGCTCACAGGTGAGGACCTCCTGGTCTTCTCCCCGCGGGGTTGGGGGTCGGGGGTGCTTGCTGCAAGATCTGTCCTCGGTTGCCCCACGACGGACGGTCTTCGAAGTCCCTCGGCTGGGTTCCCAGGTCTGCTGAGTTCCCGGTCTGCGGGGTCCCGGGTCTGCCCGTCCCGTCGGGGCCTGGCCCCTCCCTCCTGTGGGGGCCGGGGAGGGGCTCCCCGGGGACCCCGGCACAGCGCCGCCTCGCCCGCAGGCCTGGGCCTGGCCCTCAACTTCCAGCCGTCGCTCATCATGCTGGGGCTGTACTTCGAGCGGCGGCGGCCCCTGGCCAACGGGCTGGCGGCGGCGGGCAGCCCCGTGTTCCTGTCCGCGCTGTCGCCGCTCGGCCAGCAGCTGCTGGAGCGCTTCGGCTGGCGCGGCGGCTTCCTGCTGCTCGGCGGGCTCCTCCTGCACTGCTGCGCCTGCGGGGCTGTCATGAGGCCGCCGCCCGGGCCGGGCCCGCGACCGCGCAGGGACAGCGCCGGTGACCGCGCGGGGGACGCTCCGGGTGAGCCGGAGGCGGACGGCGCGGGGCTGCAGCTGCGCGAGGCGCCCTCGAGGGCCCGGCCCCGCCGGCGCCTGCTGGACGTGGCGGTGTGCACCGACCGCGCCTTCGCCGTGTACGCCGTCACCAAGTTCCTGATGGCGCTCGGGCTGTTCGTCCCCGCCATCCTGCTGGTGAACTACGCTAAGGACGCGGGCGTGCCCGACACCGACGCCGCCTTCCTGCTGTCCATCGTGGGCTTCGTGGATATCGTCGCGCGGCCTGCGTGCGGCGCCCTGGCGGGCCTGGCGCGTCTGCGACCGCACGTCCCGTATCTCTTCAGCTTGGCCCTGCTGGCCAACGGGCTCACGGACCTGAGCAGCGCGCGCGCACGCTCCTACGGCGCCCTCGTCGCCTTCTGCGTCGCCTTCGGCCTCTCCTATGGCATGGTGGGCGCGCTGCAGTTCGAGGTGCTCATGGCGGCTGTGGGCGCGCCCCGTTTCCCCAGTGCGCTGGGCCTGGTGTTGCTCCTGGAGGCCGTGGCGGTGCTCATCGGACCGCCCTCTGCCGGTGCGCCCCGAAGGAAGAGGGGGGTGGCGAAGCCTAGTGCCCCTTAGACGGAAGGAAGCTTCCTCCCTGTCTCAGATGGAACTTCCAGGGATGAGGGGAAGGGGCAGCCGGTGGGTGGACTCCCTGGCCAGTTAGTTCCTCCTCCAAGCCAGACCACCTGCTCTGGGTGCGGCCAGAAAAGCAAAGGAAGGTGCAGGGAAGAAAGCAACACTGATACTGGCCGGTTCCACCATGCCAAGCAGTTGACACAAGGCCGTCTGAAGTGCAGGTGCTTAATCTCATGTTGCAGATGAGGAAACTGAGGCACCGAGGCTTAGCGTGAGTTGCAGCCCCCGAATGAGAGCCTCGGTGTGCCTGGTGCTAAATGCCCATGCTTTTAGAACGCTGCTTTTGGGTGCTTTTCAGTTTCCCCAGCCTCCAAGGGCGACTGGAATGGGGACAATATCTTTGTGAAACCCCAGAGTGGGGGTGCTTAGCGGGCAGATGGGAAGAAGGAGAGGTGCTGGTATCTTTCACTGTGCAGACGGGCTGCTGGCATGTCACTGTCACCCTTACAAAGTCATCATTATGAGGGTGGTCAGGGAGGGCTTCCTGGAAGATCCTCCAGGTAAGGGCACAGCATGGACAGGAAGGGTTTGTGTGGGGAACAGTGTCCTTATGCAAGCAAGGCAGGAACCAAAGTTGGAAAGGTGGGAGTGGGGGATGCGGGGGTCTTCCTGGGTTGTCAGGTTATCTTGAAACACCAGGAAGCCTGCCCTTGAGTCCCAGAGGCCAGAGGGCCGTGGGATGGGACAGTGAAGTGGGGTCACCCTGTGGAGGGTCCCAGGCTACACTGAGATGGGATGAGCTGCCTGTCCTTTCTCCAGGGCTGGGCTAGCCAAGTGCCCTCTCCGAGCTCTGTCCAGTGAGAAGGACAAAGCCCCTGAGTCAGTGTGTGGGCAGCCCACAAAACCAGCTGCCCAGGACTCAAGAAACCGTCTTCCATTACTTGTGTGAATAGGGGTGGAATAGGAAAAAATATCTGCAATTGACAGATTTTCCTAGTGGCTCATGCTTGTAATCCCAACACTTTGGGAGGCTAAGCCAGGAGGATCACTTGAGGCCAGGAGTTTGAGACTAGACAGGGCATCACGGCAAACTCCTGTCTCTACCAAACACAACAAAACAAAAATTAGCTGGGTGTGGTGGAATGCACCTGTGGTTCCGGCTACTCAGGAGGCTGAAGTGGGAGGATGGCCTCAGCCCAGGAGGTGGAGGTTGCAGTGAGCCAAGAATGCACCACTATACTCCAGCCTGGGCAATGGAGCAAAACCCTGTCTCAAAAGAATAAATAATTCCAGGGCTGGGTGCGGTGGCTCACATTGTAATCCCAGCACTTTGGGAGGCCGAGGTGGGAGGACTGCCTGAGTTCACAGCCAGCCTGGGCAACATGGTGAAACCCTGTTTTGTACTAAAATACAAAAAATTAGCCAGGCATAGTGGCCTGTGCCTGTAGTCCCAGCTACTTGGGAGGCTGAGGCAGAATTGCTTGAACCCATAAGGTGGAGGTTGCAGTGAGCCAAGATCATACCACTGTACTTGAGCCTGGGACAGAGTGAGACTCTGTCTCAAATAAATAAATAAATAAAAATTAAAAAATTCCTGAGGCTAGGTACAGTGGCTTACACCTGTAATCTCAGCACTTTGAGAGGCCAAGTCAGGAGGATCCCTTGAACTCACCCAGGAGTTCAAGACCGGCCTGGGCAACATAGCAAGACCCCATCTCTAAAAAACATAGTAAAAGAGAGAGAAACTTTCTTAAGTATGAAAGTAGTATGTGCAAGTGACAGACGCCTCGAGAAATAGAGAAGGAAACGAGTCACTGGCCCACAAGCCTGCCTGTGCTGATGACAGCTCCATCTGGGCGCTCATGGGCCTCCTGGGACAGAGGGGTGGGAGGACTAAGCCAAGTCCCTGAGGACCAGGGCATTTACATGGAAACAGCAAGAGGTGGAGGCCCCCAGGAGGGCAGAGCTAAGCCCAGGGCCCCCTCCCTGCTCCCACCCCAGATGCGCCACTGCCAAGCAAGTCACAGGCCACTATTTTGGTGAGGCATCCCCTCAACCCTCTGATGAGCCAGGTGTGGTGGCATGCACCTGTAGTCCCAGCTACTCAGGAGGCTGAGGCAGAGGAATCACCTGAAATGGGAAGTGGAGGTTGTAGTGAGCCGAGATGGCGCCTGTCTCAAAAAAAAAAAAATAGACACAAAATCTATTTCCTCTACGTATTTATGCTCCTCTGCTGGCATGTCACACCTCCTCATTTTTTATTTATTTATTTATTTATTTATTTATTTTGAGACCGAGTCTCCCTCTGTCGCCCAGGCTGGAGTGTAGTGGCATGATCTTGGCTCACTGCAACCTCCACCTTCCTGGTGCAAGTGATTCTTCTGCCCCAGCCTCCTAGTGGCTGGGACTACAGGTGCGTACCACCACATCCTGCGAATCAGAGGGTGGAGGGGACGCCTCACCAAAAGCCCGGTATCACTTAGGCAATTGAGGTGCAGGGAGAGCAAGTGACATTTTTAAGGTTTCAAATGGCAAAATCCACAGGGGTTTTACATCTGTAAAACAGGAATAAAGAGTGGGCATGTGTGTGTCACCATGAGCCTCACCAAGTCAGTGGCACCACCCTTTACCTGAGAGTGCAGGGAAGGGAGGGGGAACCCCAACGACTCTTACCTCTGCCTCCCCTCCCCCTCCGCAGGCCGCCTGGTGGATGCACTGAAGAACTATGAGGTCATCTTCTACCTGGCCGGCTCTGAGGTGGCCCTGGCCGGGGTCTTCATGGCTGTCGCCACCAACTGCTGCCTGCGTTGTGCTAAAGCTGCCCCGTCAGGCCCAGGCACTGAGGGCGGAGCCAGTGACACTGAGGACGCTGAGGCCAAAGGGGACTCTGAGCCCCTGCCTGCCGTTGAGGAGGAACCCAGCAACCTAGAGGCCCTGGAGGAGCTGAGCCCTCGGGATGGGCCTATGGAACCAGAGGTGGAGGCAGGGCCAAGGCTGGCAGCCGAGTCTGTGTAATTCAGGGTGCACTGGGTGGTGTGGCCCAGTGACTTGAGAACATGGCCTCCTGCCTCAGAGGGCCTGGTATGCTGGGAGGCCGGCCTGGGGTGGTCACTCCCCGGGTCTATGTCTGAGCTCCAGTTGATCCGCCGGGTGTCCGGGAACTGCCTCCCTCATCTGTTCCACAAGCCCCGCCAGGCCCCACCCCATTACCTGTGAAGCCGCTACGCAGCAAAAGGACACTGTTGATAAAGCTCAGCTGAACAACAGGAGGTTCTGTTCCTCTGCCTCTGCCCAGGATCCGGCTGCCACCTGAGTTGGGGGGCAGGGGGGTGGGAGGGAGTCTGGGAGGTTCTCTCTCCAGGGCCCCTAAGCTGGCTTCTAGGTGGGCAGGGTTGGGAGGAAGTGTCAGAGCTAGATGAAGAGAGACCCATCATTCCCAGGTGTAGAGACAGCTGGGTGGGCATGGGACACTGAGCCCAGCCCCACTGCTCAAAGCTGTTTGCTGAAGCTCCCTTGCCAGCATCTGCTGTTTTCCGTGGAAGGGATGAGGGGTTGGGAGCAACTAGGGCTCAAGGTTGGGGGCTGCTTGCAGGCAGTAGGGGGTGGCGAGCAGTCTAAGGATCAGGGTCGGTCTGAATCCCAGCCTGGCTGCCTTCTCTGCTCACTGGAGGCTGAGCACATGACTCCACCCCCGAGGGTCCTGGCGGGGGTGAGGCCAGGTGCTCAGTAACAGCATGGGCCCTGCTGCCTTCCACGAGGTGGCCATCCCTCACCTTCCCAGAAGGCATCTGTCCCCCTAGAGGATAAACTTGGGTATCCAGGGCAAGGGGTCTTTGCTCTAGACACTGTGCTGGCAGCCTGGTCATCTGCTGACCCCGGCACCTGCCTTCTCCCCACGGAGTGTCCCAGGATCTCCCTCGGGCTTTGACATCTGACCTGCACTTGGGTCCAGGTACACGAATCTGGCAAGCCGAGATCTACTCCCTCTACTACGTATTTATCCTCCTCCCACACATCACACCCTCTTTTTTTGCGGGGGGGGGGGGCAGAATCTTGCTCTGTTGCCCAGGCTGGAGTGCAGTGGTGCAATCTCAGCTCATTGCAACCTCTGCCTCCCAGGTTCAAGTGATTCTCCTGCCTCAGCCTCCCAAGTAGCTGGGATTACAGGTGCCTATCACCATGCCTGGCTAATTTTTGTATTTTTAGTAGAGATGGAGTTTCACCATATTGGCCAGGCTGGTCTCAAACTCCTGACCTCGTTATCTGCCCACCTCGGCCTACCAAAGTGCTGGAATTACAAGCGTGATCACCATGCCCGGCCCACACCCCTTTTCTTTGCCTCCCTTCAAATCATGAATGTGAACAGGCCCCTGCAGAGGAAGCTACCTTCCCTCTGTAAACTCCCCTTGCCTTCCAGCCCAGCCCACGATGACCCCTCCCCACTGGTCCCTACAGGCCCTCATTTTCCATTCAGGCCCCAGGAAGGTCTGGGGAGCCCTGTAGATACCTGGCTGGCTTCTGCTTGTACTGCCTGGGGCTTCCTCTGCGCCACCAGAGCAGCGACTGTGTTTGACTTTATTTAGCCAACACTTAAGAGCGCTTGCTCTGTGCCAAGCCCTGTTCTAAGTCCTCTCCAGATGTTCATTTAATCCTCCTAATAAGCCAGTGAGGTAGGTGGCATATTTCAGATAGGGAAACTGAGGCCCAGGGAGGTCAGGAACCCAGGCTGTCAGTTCCAGCCTGTGCCCTCCACCTCCACTCTGGCTGTCCCCTTCTGGAAGGGGACCCAGGTGGGCTCCTGGTGACAGCCAGCCCTTCCTCCATGCGCCACCCCTGCTGAGCCTCGCATTCGGGTTTCTGCCCAGCACTGCATGCTCAAAGCTGACGCAGAACCCTTCTTCCACCCTGGACTCAGCCCACCTGGCACACCCTCGTGCCCCCCTCCCATTTTCAGGATGGCCATACTCATGGTCCAAACAGGGACATGTTAGAGTGACAAGGGCCACTATGACTGATCACACCAGGCCTGGGGCTGGCCAGAAGCAGAAGCTGCTGCCCCGTTTCTGCCTCTGTGCACACTCCCCAAGTGTCTCTCCATGGCCCCCTGGGAACACAGACACACCCAGAGTCAGCACCTGCCCCTTACCACCTCCCCTACTTGGGGGCTTAGTCACCCTGACTTAGTTTCTGCCCTCCCCTTCCCCAAAGAAAGGTTCACTTCCTGTCGGAAGCACAGAAAGGTCACAGATTGGTGGGGGCGGGGCAGGGTGGGGGAGCAGATATAAAAGGCTCCACAAAGCAGAAAGCTTTGGAGGCAGGTGGCAAAGTCAGGCTTTCAGGACAGATCTGAGTTAAGTCCCACTCTGTCCGGGTCCCGACACACAGTGTGGCCTTGGGCAAGATGTTTCTCTGTGCCTCAAATCCCCAGCTGTGAGAGGACCAGTGCTAGCCGTGCAGCACTTTGGTGAGGCATAAATGACGCACAGCAAGGGCACTGTCAATAGACTGGGGAGGCGGGTAGATGAGGAGGGTCTGAAGCGCCATCCAGGTTTGTGTTTATTCAATACAGGCCCAGAGCCCAGCCCTCCTTGAGAGAAGTGGCCGAGCTGGGGGAACAGAATAAATAAAGGCCTCGGAGGTGTGATGGGGACGGGCCAATCTGGGGCGAGGCGAGGGCGTCCATTCAACATCGGCCCCAGCCCCTGCTGTCCACCCCCAGCCTCACTCCCGGCAGGCTCCAGGGGCGGTGTGGGTGCCCACAAGGAGCAGGGCCCGGACTCCTACCACCTCCAAGCCCTTTTCCTTCCTACCCTCCCTCTCCTTTCTAAGGCAGGTCCAGAGACCAAGCTCTCCCTCTGGCTGGGGAGGGAAGGGAGGGTGGGGGGCCAGTGTCCAGGTCCCAGGCCATGACCCTGGTGCCTGTCCTAGGCAGGAGCCCAGGTTTGCTGTTCGAGGACAGAGGAAAAGGGAGGCAGGTGCCCCAAGCCAGGAGGCCTTTATGCCTCGCTCCCAGGCTCCGTCCTCCCACACACCCTGCCCCTGGCACCACATCCATCCTCGGGGCACTCAGGAGTCACACCAGCTTCCACCCTTGTCCAAGGGCCCAGCAGCCCCTCGTGTATCCCTGGACGGCTCTCCAGCAGCCGTGTCCTCCTCCTCCTCCTCCTCCTCCCCGTCGGTGAACTCCTCCTGGTTGAGGCCATAGGCCAGTGTGGTGTGCGCCAGGTCAACCTCGATGGGGAAGACGTCAGCATCCCGAAGCACTGCATAGCAGTCGTTGTAGTACTTGGACATGGTGGACACGAGGCGCTGCAGCTGGAACACGATGTCCTGGACTGGGGTGGGAGGTTGGGGCACAGGCACCAGTCGGCTCTGGCTGCTGCCTCAGGAAGGAGGACACTCTCCCAGCCCACATGGCCCACCTCTCGCCTCCCCTGTGCTTCCAACTCTGGTACTTCCCTGACCCCTCATGCCCTGGCAAGGGGCAGAGGCAGGGGCCACCCAGCCCAGAAGAACCCAGGTCTCCTAGCTCACAGTTCAGGGAACGCAGGAGGCTGCAGGGTAAATGGATCATGGACCACAGCCTGCGGAGCCCACATGGCACAGGCCAGCCCCACCCAGGCCGGGCTCCAGGCAGGTGGCTGGGCTCCTGCAGGGGGTTTACATCTGGGCCGTGGTCTGGCCCTGAGGCCTCAGGTGAGTACCTTGCCCCTCTGGGCCTCAGTTTTCCCACCTCTGAAATGGAGAGCGGATGGAGTGGGGAAGGGCGGTGCTCACCGTGCTTCTGGTCCAGCAGCTCCATCTTCTCCAGCACGTCCTTGCGCATCTGGGAGAAGCGGGCGCGAGCCTCCTGGCGGCAGCGCAGGATCAGGCGGTACTCATAGTTGCCAGTGCTCACCCGGTAAAGGGGCTCACCTAGGGCCTGGGGTGGGGGTGGAACAGGAGGGCCTGCTCAGGGACAGCCTCGCACCAGAACGGAACCGCCCTTTCAAAGCCACGGTGGTTCCTGAGACCTCACTTCTGAGATTTCAGTGTCCCTTAGAAGCACTCAGAGATAGCTCTGGAGGGAGAAAAAAGCAACAAAACCCAAACCTTTGCCACATTAAATAAACATTGGCCAGGAGATGGATCCCGACAGCAAAAACAGCAAAAACTGCCAGGCGCAGAGGCTCACGCCTGTAATCCCAGCACTTTGGGAGGCTGAGACAGACAGATCACGAGGTCAGGAGTTCAAGACCAGCCTGACCAACCCGTCTCTACTAAAAATACAAAAATTAGCCGAGTGTGGTGGCGCACACCTGTAATCCTGGCTACTCAGAAGGAGTAGGAGAGGAGAATCGCCTGAACCCAGAGGCAGAGGTTGCAGTGAGCTGAGATTGAGCCGAGATAGCGCCACTGCACTCCAGCCTGGGCGATGGAGCGAGACTTCATCTCAAAAAAAAAAAATAGAAAACTTAAAAGTGAAGAAAATCTCTTTTTCGCTCCAAGAGCCTCACAGACTCTGGAGGGCAGTGTCCTGGGACAGGCAGAGGGAGTAGTTCCACGCCAGGTAGCTAGCACCCTGAGGCCCAGAGGGACTGGGGAGGATGGCCCCAAATCTCCAGGAACAAGAGTCCAGCCAAGTGGCAAAGGTTTGGGTTTCTCCCGGGTTGGCCCGAGCCACCTGCTATCCCGGCAGCCCAGGTGGGGAAAGTGGGAGCCCCGCCCTGCAGCACTCACGATGCAGCTGTATTCCTCGTCGTCCATCTCCTTCACCTTCAGGCAGTACGACTGTGTGGACAGATGAGGTGTCAGAGTGGCTACCCCCACCCCACGTCCCCAGCTCCACCCCCATCACCCACACGCATCCAGGGAGGCTGGCGCAGGTGCTCAGGGAGGCCCAGAGAGGGCAGCGGCAGGCAACTGAGGCATGAGGCTGGGGGATGGCCAGGGCCTGAGGCTTTGGTGGCCCAGAGTTTACCAAACTCAAGGCCCAAGAGATGCTATGGGAAAAAAGCGGTCTGTGGCCAAAGGAGCTTAGGAAGACCCTTGAAAGTTCACATTGCACATGGGCCTATCAAAGGCTCTGATAAGTCCTGCAGCAAAGGCGCCTTGGCTTGCTTAATGGAGGATTTCCTCTCAATTCCTATTGCTTTGACCATACAATTATTATTATTATTACTTTTTTTTGAGATGGAGTCTTGCTCTGTTGCCCAGGCTGGAGTGCAGTGCCTCAATCTTGGCTCACTGCAACCTCTGCCTCCTGGGTTCAAGCGATTCTCCTGCCTCAGCCTCTGGAGTAGCTGGGACTACAGGCGCCCACCACCACACCTGGCTAATTTTTGTATTTTTAGTAGAGATGGGGTTTCACCATGGTGGTCAGGTTGGACTCGAACTCCTGACCTCGTGATCCGCCCACCTCGGCCTCCCAAAGTGCTGGGATTACAGGCGTGAGCCACCCTGCCCAGCCGACCACAGAATTATTAAATATAAAACTCGCAAAGGTTCACTGGCACCCACTTCACGCTCTCTCACCTAGTCTAACCCATTGTTTAAAGGCAATAAACAAATCCCAAGGGGTCGGCATGCACAGAGCGAGAGCCGTGCCCACCCAGGCTCTCTGACGCTTCTCTGCGTGGCGGCCGCAGGGCTTCGGCTGCACCTCCCCAGGCCCCGGTCCCACACCGTGAGCAGACATGCCGCAGGTTCTGGCCAGCCTTGCTTGCCGAGACGTGGCTGATGGAAAAGGGGAAGCTCTCCAGGGTGGGTGCTCGCTCCAGCGGCCCGGGCGCCTGGACTACTCACCAGGTACTCAAACTTCACATCCAGGTACTTCTTGATGGTGAGGCGAGTGTCCGGGATGGCTTTGTTGAGGTACGTGTTCAGGTCTGTCAGCATCTGAAAGACGGTGGGTGGATGCTGAGGCCCTCATGGCGGCGGGTGCCAGGGTGACAATAAACATCAGTGATGTGTCACCCCTTCTTGTGGACTCGACTGTCAGAGCCAGACGGTGCCCCGGATGCCTTGTCCCTCCCAAGGATGAGAAGACTAGTGCCAGGCCCAGGGCAAGCTGTGACTCAGTGGCGAGCCAGGGTCAGAAGCCAGCCCAGAGGTCAATGCCAAGGCCCAAGGGGGCGCAGGGACCCACCCACAGTCCACTGTGTGGGTGACTGCGCCAGAGGCTGCACCCAGGCGTTTGGACTCCAGCACAGGTCCCTCCATCTGCCACACTGTCCCCTCCCTAGCCTCACACGCCAAACACACACGTGCAACAGGACCTACCGGCTTGATGGTTTTCAGAAGCCGAATGCCGAACTTCTCGATGCTGCGGTGGGCATCGGCGAACTTCACGAAAGCCTCGCTGGCAGCCGGCTGGGGCTCCCGCACCCCGATCACGGAGAACACGTCCCCAAAGGCTGCATGACAAGTTTCCCTTGAAGGCTGCCCCTACCCGACCTCCTAATGAAGAACCAGGGGTTTTTGTGGGAGAAGCAGGGCAGGGGGCCTGGCAGGCTGGAGGCCAATGTCTGCACAGGGTCTACACCTTCAAGAGAGCTGGTCTAAATCACCTGAAGGAGCTGAGTCTACACCCAGAGGAAACTGGATTGACACCTCCAACAGCTGGTCTATGCCCCTGAAGTCCTGCGTGTACACACCAAGGGAGTTGACCCTCATTCCCCCAGGGACGAGTGAGAGAAGCTGGGTCAGGATCTGAGGCGGTGGCTCTGTCTGGGGCAGAGCACTGGTCTGAGTGGAGATACCTGGGTTCTAACACCAGCTCCACCCCTTAGGAGCGGTGGGGCCCTTTCCCCGGTCTAAGCTTCACATTCCGCAGTAACCGGGGTTAGCTGCAGCTGGGCTACCTAGAGCTACAGGATTGTCAGAAATATAAGTAAGCAAGGGCCTGTGCACTGCCAGTGGGCAGCTGGATGTCCATGGTTGCGGCCCCTAGGAGGCCAGCTGCTCCCCGCAGCTGATCCAGATGCTCCCCACAGGCCCCTATCGCTACATCCCAGCACCTGGGACCAGGACCAGCCCAAAGCTGGCCTGAGGTCAGGTGCTGTGGGTCTGACCCACCTCAGCATGCATGTGAGAGGCCCCAGGGATTGCCCAGGGTCATGCCACAGGTTTGGGGGATGCCATTACCCCGGTGAGTCTGCGACAGCTCATAAAAGGCCCGTAGGAGGTTCTTGGTGTGTTCCGTCATCCCTGTGGGATAGACCGAGTGAGGCAGAATGTGGACACACGGTGGGGACTGCACTTGCCCAAGGCAAGGCCTCCAACTGCCATGCCACCCAAAGCCTCCAAGTACCCACCCCACCCGAGGCCTCCAACTGCCATGCCACCCAAAGCCTCCAAGTACCCACCCCACCCGAGGCCTCCAACTCCCATGCCACCCAAAGCCTCCAAGTACCCACCCCACCCGAGGCCTCCAACTCCCATGCCGCCCAAAGCCTCCAAGTACCCACCCCACCCGAGGCCTCCAACTCCCATGCCACCCAAAGCCTCCAAGTACCCACCCCACCCGAGGCCTCCAACTGCCCACCCCACCCGAGGCCTCTGCTTGGCCCTAGTGCCCAGCCTTTGCCCGCCACCCAACCAGGGCCCAGGGGTAAAGGCTCAGTCCAGCTCCACCCAGGAGGAGCCTCACCAGACAGGGGCGCCAGGACTTTGTAAGATGCAGGTGCACACAGCCTGCTGTGGACTTTGGCCCTGGGAGAGCATGGGATTCTGGGGGACTCTCACTATGTTTACAGGTGCTATTCTCTGAATGTTTATGGGTATGAGGGTTTTTTTTGAGATGAAGTCTTGCTCTGCTGCCCGGGCTGGGGTGCAGTGGTGTGATCTTGGCTCACTGCAACCTCTGCCTCCCTGATTCAGGTGATTCTTGTGACTCAGCCTCTTGAGTACTGATTACTGGCACCCGCCACCATCCTTGGCTAATTTTTATATTTTCAGTAGAGATGGGGTTTCACCATGTTGGCCAGGCTGGGCTCAAATGCCTGACCTCAAGTGATCCACCCGCCTCAGCCTCCCCAAAGTGCTGGGGTTGCAGGTGTGAGCCACCACACCTCGCCCCTGGGTTATTTTTAAATTAAGAAGAAGTATGTATTCTTAAGAACTCTTAATGCCCATGGTCCTAGGATTTGTAGGCTGGCATTCCTAGTGCCAGCACCCCCACTGCCATTCTGCTAAAAGCAGGCTCCCTGGGGTAGAGCCAGTGCTGGGACAAGGCTGCCCCCACCTTTGTACAGCTCCGCCGTCCGCTCCAGCTCCTCTAGCCTCTTGACAAGACCATCTGTGGGGACCCAGAAAAGAGGGTAGGTCAGCAGGCTTGCAAGCCACAGGAGGCCCAGGCTGGGGAGGGGAGGGGCGGCCCCAGAGGAAAACCAGGATGGGAAAGATCAGGGGTCCGAGGGAAGGGATTCGGCATCTCAGGTCAGCTGGGTTCAAAGGTGTTTTGTAAATGGCTAGGCCTTCCTCATGGCCAGTGGAGGGTTCTTGCCTAGAAGGCAAAGCTCCTGCACTTCTACCACAAAGCCTGCTGGCAGCTGGGGGGGAAGGCCAGCAGGAGCCATCGTCGGAATGGAGCTGGAGCAGCCAGTCCTCTAGTGCAAGCAGGATGTGGCCCCTGCTGCCCAAGCACACAGACGGCTCAGAAGGGGGACTGCAACTTGGGGAGGGAGGGGCAAATTCAGGAAGGCTGAGACAGCTCACACTGAGAAGAGTCCTTGGTGATCATGTCCACTGGCTTAACTAGTGCTTCTTGAGCACCTATTATGTGCCAGCCACCAGGTCAAGCTCACCTTGAGCCCAGTCTTCCTCTCAAGGCTCAAAGTCTGGCAGGGGAGCCAGGCCAGTGGCCGGGCAATGAGCAACAGTGTGACGGTGAGGACTGCAGGGGAGAGGTGGGGCAGCAGCCTCACCTTGAGGAGGAAGCGGATTGCCAGGGACAGGCAGGCATTCTCGATGGAAGGGTGGGCAGAAAGCTAAGGAGCTAAGCTAAGGGCCAGGGCAGAGGCGCGATGACATTTAGTGCTCCTGCCGACCCCGTACGGGACATCCACCCCGAGGAGGATGAGGTAGATATGCACCTCCCCACCAGGAGCAACCAGAGAGTAGGGGCCCTGTGTTGGTGGCCTCCTGGCCCAGCCACCCACCAGGGCAGCAGGGCCTGGCCTTGAAAAGCACCAGCAGCCGCTGACTGAGTCCCTGTGCTATGAGCTGGGCCTGCCGAGGGCTCCCTACACATGTCTTGGTCCCTCCTCAGTCAGCCACGGGACAGGGACAACTCTCTCCATTTCACAGAGAAAACCAAGGGACAGGGAGACAACAAGGTGGCCTGCCCAAAGTCACACAGCCACCTGTGGCAGCTGGGTGCTCTCTGCTCCCAGCCTCCTGTGCTGATCCGGGTCAGGGTTTTTGAGCGGAAGAGGGGAGGAGCGGAGGCTGTGTTCAGGCCTCTCTGGGCAGGGAAGTGGCTGTGGGACAGGCTGTCAGGGGAGGAAGGGGCACTCTGGAGGTCTTGGGGAGGATTTGGCCCCCGGTGGCTTCCAGGCCTGGGCGCCCCAGAGCCTTAGTGCCCTGCCAGCCGGCAGGAAAGGAGCCATGTAAGCCCCACGCTGCTGTTTTCAGCTGGGTCATGGGACATCATGACAGCTTCCATTTTAGAAACCCTATTTCAGGCCAGGAAAATTGCAAGGTTTGGGGGGAAAAACACAACAACCAGTTCTAATTTCATCTCAACGGCTGGTAACTACAGTAACAGGGGTTTATAGGCACCAGGAGGCTGGAAATAGCAGCCGCCACTTCTGTACACCATTTGGAACGAGCTCAGACCCCACCCCCACTTCCCCAGCCAATAAAGCCCAGTGCGCCCAGCTGAGCCTACAATTTCTACAGGTATTTATATCTACCCCACACGCACACTGCAGAGCTGCTGCTATTTTTAAACTTGCACTGGCGACGGTAGGAATGGGACTGAGTGTTTCATTGGCCACCCCAGGGAGGGAAGGTGTGCGCGCATGTGTGCATGCATGTGTAAGTGTGCGTGTACACGCCTCCCCCCACTCCTGGGCAGCCACCTCCCAGCCGGGAGGACAAGGGCAGCAGCGCCACCTCCTGGACAAAGGAGGCGCGAGGTGGGCAGCGAGAGTGCTGGGGTGAGGGGTAAGGGAGCTGAGGGCAGCGGTTGAGGCACCTCCCCACACAGAGTCTGTTTCCCCATCTGTGACCTGAGGGACGCTGGCTAGGACAGCCCAGCTGACAGCTGTGAACACTCCGGGAGCTGGAGAAGCCTCTGGGGATGTGGAGATGGCGACTTCTCAGCTCCACGGGCAGAGGCTGGGTCAGGCCCGTGGGACCCACAGCAGCTTGGTAGGCAGCCATGGTGCCTCTCCCATTTTCCCAGCATGGGCTTGAGTCCCCAGGGCCCAAGCTGGGTGGGAAGGGACTCACCATTGCACAGGATGGCCCGGCTCAGGCCCAGGGCATCTGCGGTCCCTGAACTCATGTTCTCCACCAGCCGGTGCTTGACTTTCTTCAAAACTGAATGGGGAACAAAGGACGTGGTGAGTGTGTGGCTGCCCAGAGGCCATCCCTGCCTCCAGCCTTATCTCCAGTCACAGGGAGCACCCCACAGGGGCAAAAGGGCTGCTGGGGGTGGCTCTAAAATGGGGAGTGTCCCTGTTCCCTCTGATTCACAGAGCTGCTGGCAGTCTGGGCAGAGTTCAGCATTAAGTGCTTTGCCCAGGGCCTGCTGCGTGACATCAGCTGGTGTCACTGAGAGCCCAGTGCTGCCCCAGCTCAGTACGGGCTGATGGAAGCCAAGGAGGCCTCTTCCCCTCCTCTGTGCCACATCAGGACCTAGGGTGCCCCATACAAGGGGAGGAGGAGAAGGGGTGCAACTGGGCTGATTATGTGAAAGCAATGGGCACTCTCAATGACCATGAACCTCGGACCCCAGACTCAATTACTGCATATAAGCAGCTCCGTCCTGGGAAGTGACCTGTCTTGGAACAAAAGGGTTTGAGAGGAAGCTCCTGGACAGGTCCAGTCTGCCCTGAGTCCCTTGGCCTCTGGCTCCAGGGTGCGGGAGAGGCTTGCTGGACTCTGGAGCCGAGACCTGGGTGTGTGCTCACCAGGGGGCTGCAGCGCCCTCTCTGGGTCTCAGGCTTGGATCCGTCATGTGAGGCGGCTGGTCCAGAGGACTCGAAGCTGCTCTCCAGCTCTTGAGTCTTAAAGTTTCTACAGAACCACGGCTCAGCCCGTCTAACAGGAGGGAACTTATCCCAGGCGTGGGCCCTCTGCCCATAGCCTGAGGTCCAGTTCAGATCCAGTCTCCCTGGGAGCTGACGGCAGGAGGAGCAGAGCGAGGCTGTGCTGGAGGCATGGGGTGCCAGGCCAGGGTTGGGCTGCTCTCCCCTTATGAAGGGCGAGGCCCTGGGCCATGATGAGCCGAGGCGCTGGCCTGCAAAGGACAACCCTAGGGCAGCAAGGTCCCAGGGGAGGTGGCCGAAGTGGGGAGTGGGGGTGAAACAGGACAGTGAGAAACCAGGGACAGACGCAGGGACAGAACTTTGGGTCCTCCCAGGCCTTTCGGGGATTTGCTTGCTCAGAAGTCAGAGCCCACAGCCATGGATGCTCCTGTCATAAGGGGGAGGCCAGGGCTGGCTGTGGCACTTCTCCTTCAGGTGGGGGCCTGTCCAGGGGGGCTGTTGGACGCCCGTCACTACTCGGGCTGGCTTACCAATGTCCAGGGACATGCCCTGCTTGGGGTCTGCCTGCAGCTTGTTGTAGTGGATGGTCACCTCCCCCTGCAAGAGCAGCACACACAGACTTGTGAGGGGGCTCCAGGCCTGAGCCCCTTCCCCGGCAGCACTGTTCTGGACTGAGAATCCTAAGCCCAAGCCAGGCGCAGTGGCTCATGCCTGTAATCCCAACACTTTGGGAGGCTGAGGCAGGCAGATCACTTGAGGTCAGGAGTTCAAGACCAGCTTGGGCAACATAGCAGCCTCCTGGTGAGTGCCCAGGTCTCTCAGCTCCAGAGTCTAGCAAGCCTCTTACTAAAAATACAAAAATTAGCCGGGCATGGTTGCACATGCCTGTAATCCCAGCTACTCAGGAGGCTGAGGCATGAGAATCACTTGAACACAGGAGGCAGAGGCTGCAGTGGCCTGAGATTGTGCCACTGGACTCCAGCCTGGGTGACAGAGCAAGATTCTGTCTCAAAAAAAAAAAAGAAAAAAAGAATCCTAAGCCCCAGTAAGGAACCAGGCTGAGAGCTGTGACATGGCCCCACCTTGTGACCATGTCTGTTCCCAGGTCTCTCCTTTCCCACTCTATGTCCAAGCCCTGGGGAATCAGCAGAGACAGGGCCGACATGGAGCCCACAGCCTGGTGGTCTCTGATGTCCTGTGCTTCAACCAGGTCCGACTCTCCTTCCCTCCCCATGCACACCACACTCCACGCCTTTGCTGTGTCATTTCCCTACACCAATTATTCCCTCCTCCACCCAAACCACCCCCATCCCCAGGAATCCCTCTACTCATTCAACAGATACATCTCAGCACTTGCTCTGTGCCTGGTGCTACGGCTCCAAGGGGAAGGGGCAGGGGCAGCCCCAGACCCCCAAGGCCGATTTGATCCAGGGAATTATGCAAACTGCATTCTAGTGACTGCTCAGGAGACACAGGCTTCTCCCAGGAGGACTTCCCTGAGCACAGGAGGCCACCGTGTTCACTCCCATCCTTGCAAACCAAAAGCCCTTGAACTTGGGACCACATTCATCCAATTATAAAACAGGATTTAAAAATCAAGTCCCAAAGGGAAACCAAAATGAGCGATGCAATCAGAGTCAGAGGTGGGGTGTGACTCCCTTCTCCAAAATGCAACACAGCCAGCTCAGGGGCCATCCCACACAGAGTAGCTGTAGGCTAACAGCAAGCAGGCTGCAGTGGGAGTCGGACCCGGGCTCCAGTTCAGCTGTGTGACCACAAGCCGGTCACTCCCCAACTCTGGACACCTGTAGGATGGGAGAGTAGGCTGGGTGCGGTGGCTCACGCCTGTAATCCTAGCACTTTAGGAGGCTGAGGTGGGCAGATCACCTGAGGTTGGGAGTTTGAGACCAGCCTGACCAAAACGGAGAAACTCCGTCTTTACTAAAAATACAAAAAAGTTAGCCACACATGGTGGCAGGTGCCTATAGTCCCAGCTACTCAGGAGGCTGAGGCAAGAGAATCACTTGAACCTGGGAGGCGGAGGTTGTAGTGAGCCGAGATCTTGCCATTGCACTTCAGCCTGGGCAACAAGAGCAAAACTCCATCTAAAAAAAATTTTTTTATAAGATGGGAGAGGAATCCCCGCCCAGCACCCAAACAGGAGAGCTGGGCCTATGCTGCATCACCGTCACCGCTGTGTGCAAACACAGAGCTCTTATCCTCACAGGCAACCTGAGGGGCTGGTGTCACCAAGCCTGAGAGAACAGGGAGGGACCTGGAGAGCAGAGATGGGGCGGGGGGACGGAGCCGCTGAACTGGGCACACACCACTCAACTCTGCCAGATGGAGACCCCTGCGCCTGTTCCCATGGCCAGCTCCTCTGCCTAACAGGTCATGCTGGGGCCAGTGATACCCAGACCATGTGCAGTGGCAGCTGCAGTCTCAGTGAACCTTGTCGCTTCCTTTTGTACAAGAGAGCTCTGAGCCCCAGCCCCAGGCCGATGTGTCCAATGGCTAAAGGGGCTGGAATAGGAGAACGTGCAGGATTGGACTCTTCCTTCCTACAGCAAGGAAGGAGAGTAGCGGGGATGAGGCAGGAGCAGGGCAGGAGGATAAAGGGAGAGGATGGAGCCACGGCTGGCCTGGGTTAAGGCAGGAAGGGGGCTGTCAGGGGTGCTAGAACCCGGAGGACAGAAGTGGAACAGAGGGAGAAAGCTGCAACCCTTGGCCAAGCTCAACTCACAATGGGGACCCTTGACCCGAGACTTTAAACCACCGCACAGCTGTGCACTGCCTCCACATCAGTTCTTTCATAGAACTGGTTTCCTGAGACTTGCTAGCAGCCTCACTGCTAGGAAATGGCAAAGGGGCTGCATGCTCGCTTCCGGAGAGGCTGGGATACTGTCTGCACTCCAGAACGGAGGGTCCCTGTGGAGAGGCCTGGGCCTGGAGCAACAGGAGTGGGGGAGAGTGGAGGCAGGCAGCGTATGACTCTGCTCTGCAGAGCAGAAGATCAGCTGGCGTGGAGGGGGTGGTCTCTGGGTGTCTATGAGCCCAGGAGGATGCATAGGACGAGAAGTTCCTCCAGGAGGGGAAAGGGCGCTCTTCTTTCCCTCTTAGCCCTCCCAGGCCCAGTGTGACCCAGCTGACATTATTGGGTGCCTACTGACCTAGCAGGATCACCTTGAACTTTCGGCTTCAGCTCCAGCACTGACTGGGGACACACGGGCTAGCGCTGACTGGGGACACACGGGCTAGCGCTGACTGGGGACACACGGGCTAGCGCTGACTGGGGACACACGGGCTAGCGCTGACTGGGGACACACGGGCTAGCGCTGACTGGGGACACATGGGCTAGCGCTGACTGGGGACACACGGGCTAGTCCTGAGGCATGGTTCCTAGTCTGTCAGCTCCCTGGGAGCTCACAGGGACCTTCGGGTCTTGTTGCCCACTCTCTTGCAAAGGTCCAGCACAAGTCCTGGAGCATGATTACTATTTACTGAATGGATGAGGGATGGATGAGAGAGGCTGGAGTGTGACCCTGACCCTGATGTGCCAAGGAAGGGGGCGGTGAGGGCTGGTTCCCCTTTCCAGGCCTGCTGGGGCCTCTGGCAGCCTGGAGGTCTAGAAGCATGTGTGGCCGCCTCTGGACACTCCCTCTGCGGCAGCCCTTACCTTCACCTCCTGAATCATCTTCGCCACCTCCACCTTAGTTTTCCCTTTGATTGATCTGCCATTGACGCCGGTGATCTCATCCCCAGCTGCCACTGTGCCGTCCAAGGCTGCTGGAGTATTGTCAAATACCTGTGGGTGCAGGAGAGCGGTGGGGAGAAGTGGAGGACTGAGATGCAGCCCGAGAAGACACCCCAACCACTGCCCGGCTCTGCCTTCCACTCTACCCGAGAGCGGTGGGGAGAAGTGGGGGACTGAGATGCAGCCCGAGAAGACACCCCAACCACTGCCCGGCTCTGCCTTCCACTCTACCCTCTGCTCTTGTTTTTTGAGAAAGGGTCTCGCCCACCTAGGCTGGAGTGCATGGCATGATCACAGCTCACTGCAGCATTGAACTCCTGTGCTCCGGCAATCCTCCTGCCTCACATAGTCAGATGATTTTTGACAATGGTGTCAAGAACGTTCAGTGGGAAAGGACAGTCATCTCAACAACCGTATGTGAAAAATGAAGTTGACACTTAACCTAACGCCATATATGAAAATTACCTCAAGGCCAGGCGCCGTGGCTCATGCTGTAATCCCAGCACTTTCGGAGGCCAAAGCTGGTGGATCACCTGAGGTCAGGAGTTCGAGACTATCCTGGCCAACATGGCAAAACTCCATCTCTGCTAAAAATACAAAAATTAGACCAGCATGGTGGTGGGTGCCTGTAGTTCCAGCTACTCAGGAGGCTGAGGCAGGAGAATCACTTGAACCCGGGAGGTGGAAGTTGCAGTGAGCCGAGACTGTGCCACTGCACTCCAGCCGGGGCAACATAACAAGACTCTGTCTCAAAATAATAATAATAATAATAATAATAATTAACTCAAAATTGATCTCAACTCATGTTGAGTTTCACCATGTTGGCCAGGCTGGTCTCAAACTCCTGACTTCAAGTGATCTGCCTGCCTCAGCCTCCCAACGTGCTGGGATTACAAGCGTGAGCCACCACGCCCAGCCCCATCTTGTTCAGTCTGTTTTCCACCCTGCAGCCTCTCCCCCTTGTGCCCTCCTCCTGCCCTGTTCTTTGGATTACCCCCTCTCAGGGGTCCCTCTCTCGGTTTACTCCCCTGTCTCCTGTGGAGGGAGTTGAGATAATACCACTGCACTCCAGCCTGGTGACAGAGCAAGACTTCATTTCATTTCAAAAAAAGAAAAAGAAGAAGAAGATGGGGAACTGTGGAAAACATACTGAGAAAACAAAACAGGAAATTACCCTCTCAAAAAAGAAGAAAAGGCTGAATAGAGAAAAGAAACAGAATCCTCAGAAAGTGAAACATTGAGCTGTTTCGACTAGAACGAGGGCTCCACAAAGGTGGGGTCTTTGTTTTCCTCAGTTGCTTGTCCCTAGTGCCACAACAGAGCCCAGCCAGGCACTTGGAAAGATTTCCTGAACAAAGTCTCCGTTGTACTAGTATTAATGTAGCCGAAAGTGGACAAATAACTATGTTGGAAAGGTGGGATGAGAGGAAACAGACTGGTCACGGAAAGACCTGAATTCTCATCTACCGGACGAGGGAAAGGCAATAGATATTTACAAATGATAGATCAAGAAATAACAGGATAAGCCAGGCAAGGTGGCTCATGCCTGTAAGCCCGACACTTTGAGAGGCCAAGGCTGGTGGATCACTTGAACCCAGGAGTTTGAGATAAACCTGGGCAAAACCCCATCTCTACAAAAAATACAAAAAAATTAGCTGGGTGTGGTGGCACCTGCCTGTAATCCCCAGCTACTTGGAGGCTGAGGTGGGAGAATCACCTAAGTCTGAGGAGGTTGAGGCTGCAGTGAGCCGTGATTGAACCGCTGCGCTCCAGCCTGGGTAAGAGCGTGAGACCCTGACTCTAGAAGATAATAACAACAGGATAAGCGTCCTATTGAGAAAAACGGAAGCTCACGCATGAAGAGAGTGAAAGCCAGGTGAGGTGCGCAGGGGAAGGGCAGTGGCTTGCTATTATTTGACACAGGGCTTTTAATGCTCTTGACTTGCTAGAAGCAAGTTACTTGGCACTTTGATAAAAACAAAATTGAATTTTAAAAAATCAGTTCTATTATTTTATTGGCCAGTGGTTCACACCTGTAATCCCAGCACTTTGGGAGGCTGAGGTAGGCAGAATCACTTGAGGCCAGGAGTTCAAGACCAGCCTAGCCAACATAGCTAAACCCTGTCTCTCCTAAAAATACAAAAATTACTTGGGCATGGTGGCATACTCGAGGGGCTGAGGCATGAGAATTGCTTGAATCCAGGAGGCAGAGGTTGCAGTGAGCTGAGATCACACCACTGCACTCCAGCCTGGGTGACACAGTGAGACTCTGTCTCAAAAAAAAAAAAAAATCAACTCTACTATTTTATAATGTGTGTTCATTCTAAGCAAACCTGTCCCCAAGGTAGGGAGAAGGAGGTGGCGAGAGGCTGAGCAGGCACATGGCCAGGAGGCCAGGCCTGGGGAAGGCCTTGCTAATGCCTCCTGGGTTACAGGAGGCCGAATGGCTCATGAAGGAGGCAGCATGTGAGCAGAAGCAAGACCAGGCCAATCTGGGAATCTGTCTTCGAGGCCTAGAAGCAACTCCTTAGCAAGATCCTCGCAGAGGCCCGTTTCCCATCTGCCACCAGCGGCTACCCAGCTGAGAGGACTGGAACAAGTCTTTCCAAGCCTACAGCAAGGTCACTGACTCTGATGAGCCACACAGTGAAGGAGGCCTCACAGCAGGCCGGTCCCCACTCCTGAGTTACAGTGCACAGAATATCACCAGCGCAGCTTCCTCTGCAAGGGACACAAGAGTGTTCCTTACCACGGGCAGAGCATCTGGGAAAATGTACAGCTGCCTGAAAAATAACAGCAGCTACTGCTTAATGCATGTTTTTGTTTTTGTTTTTTTTGTTTTTTTTTGTTTTTTTTTTGAGACAGGGTCTCACTCTGTTAACCAGGCTAGAACAAGTACAGTGACATGATTTCAGCTCACTGCAACCTCTCCCTTCCAGGTTCAAGCACTTCTCCTGCCTCAGTCTCCCTAGCAGCTGGGACTACAGGTGTGCGGCACCACACCCAGCTAATTTTTTGTATTTTTAGTAGAGATGGGGTTTCACCATGTTGGCCACACTGGTCTCAAACTCCTGATCTCAGGTGAACCACTTGCCTTGGCCTCCTAAAGTGTTGGGATTACAGGTGTGAGCCACTGCCTGACCAATGCACATTTCTGCATTTTTCTTGTTTTTGTTTTGTTTTGTTTTTGAGATGGAGTCTTGCTCTGTGGTCAGGCTGGAGTGCAGTGGTGTGATCTCAGCTCACTGCAACCTCCATCATCTGGGTTCAAGCAATTCTCCTGCCTCAGCCTCCCGAGTAGCTGGGAATACAGGTACCCGCCACCATGCCCGGCTGATCTTTATATTTTTAGTAGAGACAGGGTTTCACTATGTTGGCCAGGCTGGTCTCGAACTCTTGACCTCATGATCTGCCCGCCTTGGCCTTCCAAAGTGCAGGGATCACAGGAGTGAGCCACCGTGCCCGGCCAATGCACACTTCTTAAGTGCTAGTGTGTTATGTCGTTTTGTCGACTTTTCACAAGAACCCAAAGACGCTCATGTCTACGTTTTAAAACCCCACTTTCTAGGTGATGGAACTGAGGCCCAAAGAGGTTAAGTGACTGGCTCGTAAGTAGGGAAGAAGCTGTGTTTGACCTCAGGCCATTATTTCACAGAGTTCCTATGACACTGCATTTGCTAGAACCCAAGGCTGATGCTTTTGTTGATTCAATAGTCAATTTCTTTTTTTATCGAATTTTTTTTCTTTTTTTAACTTGGGTTGTCACCAAGATTTAATAGTCCATTTCTAGTGCGGGTCCACTATACGTCAGGCACTGTACCTGGTGCTAACTGCAGTGAAAAGGCAAACCAGGACACTGTCCTCAGTACAAAGAGTCTACTCTCCTAGACAGAGGACAAATAACAAGTAATAAACGCCGAGAAGGAAAAGAACAGAGAGACACAGGGGAGAAGATGGGCCAGACCAATGCAGCGCAGATGGTCAGAAAGCCCCTCGGAGAGGGTCAGACCTCAAGAATGAGAAGGAGTCAGCTATACAGCGTGGAGAAATGAACCTGCCTTTGTCATGCCCAAGTAGGGATGTACCTTGTGCTACCCACCCTCCAGGGTGCCCAATACCTGGACGATATAGAGACAGGGACAGTACTGGGCCCCTCCTCCAATGCTGATCCCGATCAGGTTCTGAGCATCCTTCTGCAGGGTCACCTTCCCAGGCACAGTTGGGATTCCGCTAGAAAGAAAAGCAAGCGAGGCTGACTCTCCTGGAGGAAGGATCACTGGAGGGGGTGGGACCCTCAAAACTCCTGAGGGGCTCCATTGGCTGCCCAGCTTTTTCTCTCCCTCCCTTGGATAAAACAATAGCACTCTGTGCTGAAACATGCACAGTTCTTGGAGTTCTGCAGATGTGGGATCAAACCCCGTCAAATCTGCCATTTATCAGCTATGGGACTTGGTTTTCTTTTTTTCCTCTTTTTTTTTTTTTTGAGACGGAGTTTTGGTCTTGTTCCCCAGGCTGGAGTGCTATGGCACTACCTTGGCTCACTGTAACCTCTGACTCACCGGTTCAAGCAATTCTCCTGCCTCAGCCTCCCAAATATCTGGGATGACAGTCACAGGTGCCCACCACCACGCCCGGCCAATTTTTTGTATTGTTTTATCATTATTATTTTTTTTAAAGACGGGGTTTCACCACGTTGGTCAGGATGGTCCCGAACTCCTGACCTCAGCTGATACATCCACCTTGCCCTCCCAAAGTGCTGGGATTACAGGTGTGAGCCACTGCACCTGGCCAGCTATGGAACTTGGGTAAGTTACCCTCTGTGCATCTCAATTTCCTCATCCATAAAATGGGGATGAGCACCCTTATCCAAGTTCTTCTAACCATGCATGGAGGCCACTAACAGCAACCCAATCCACAGCAGGCACTCCATAAAAATAGGTCCCCCTTCCCTTTCATTCATTCGATCTCTGCGATTTGAGACAGGTTCTGTCCTTGTCACCTTATCAGGCATCTAGGGAATCTGACGGCTACCTGCTGAAGGAGTTAACTATCCACCTCCCACCTCCTCATTACCTCTCAGTTTCCACTATAAACTAGCATTGACTGGTGTTTCATGGTAAGTACTTGCGCTGATTCACTTATTCATTCAAAAAACATTTGCTACCAACCTACTGACATCAAGCCCCTTACTAAGCGCTGAGCGCAGAGAAAGGCATTGCACTCACTCCTTGATCCGAAAGAGGATACATTGTAATGGGAAGACAAATCTAATTTCTGAAAATCTACTAATAACCTATGTTGGGAAGGAAGGTATGTCTACAACATTCCTATTCAACCTTCAAAACCTGGCTCAACTGCCACCTTCTCCATGAAGCTTTCCTTGATCACCCCAGCGGAAGCACTGCTCCATCTGCTTTCTCTCCTTGTCACCAAGTCATGCTAATAGTGCCCTTATGGAACCGAGCTGTGATTATCCCTTTAACTGTCCATAGTCCCCTACAAATAGTGAGCTCCTGGAAGAGCAGGGTGCACTGCTGCTTCAGCACAACACCTGCTCCACCGCTGAGACGCAAGGGTTTGTGGGACTGGCAAGTCCAGGGAAATAAGGGACTTGGGGTTCCCATGCTCCTGGAACTTGGGGGAATAAAATACTCACAGTTTATCCTCCTCGATGTCATAATCCAAGTCTGCAAACATGGTTCCGAGAGTTGGAGCAGGCGGGCTAACTGCCCAGCTCGGTAGGGGAATAGGGGACTGGATCTGGGAGAGAAAGGAGCATAGGATTTAGGGAACCGAAGTGCCTGAATGTCAACACCACCCCTTCCTCCACCACCCTCATACGGGACAGCAGGGCCCTCTTCTTCCCCTCTGGAGTGGGATGGGGCAATCTCCGGGTAGGGGGGGCTGGGTAGGTGATTCTTACTAGGTACAAGGGGGGACTCAAGGCCAGGATGATGGGCTCAGATCCCAGAGCCCGGCCCAAGGGTCTCCAGGTCCTGGGGAGCTGCCTCTGTTGCTCACCGGAAGCGTCAGTCCCAGAGCCGGGTTCGGGCCAGGCTGGTACCTGAACCCACCTGCCGTTCCACCTGGCGGTGGCCGCGACTATCACGTCACTTCCAGTAAGACGCGGAAGTCCCGCCCTTTCCCCGCTGGGTGTTTGCCCCAATCCCTGCAGACAATCCTTCCCTCACCCGCTCCCGGGACTCTCGGAACCAAGAACAAGAACAAGTATTGGCAGAGGCTCGCTGTTAGTAGGAACAAGCGGAAACAGAGGAAAAGTCTGGACAGGCTGACAGCGTCTAACCCCGCCCTTTGCCCTGCCGCCGCCGCCATGTTGGGAAGGGCAGGGTTTGTCCCAGCTTCCTCAGCGGCACTCAGGGACCCGCGCCGGCCTGGCGGTTGCCAGGGCAACGGAAGCATCTCTGAGCTGGGGTTACCTCCCGCGAGGCTCAGTGAAGTATAGACCTGCCCTTTCACCCCTTAACCACCTGGGCCTGTGACTCCCCTACTAGAAAGGCCCTTTGAGGTCCCAGCCCATCCCAGTTTCGCAGGCGAGGAAACTTAAGTGCCAAAGAGCCGGCAGTGATTTTGTGCAGAGCCACACGCAGTTGGTATAATATCTGGACTGTGGCCTCGAAACTCCCGCCGCCTAGTCTAGTCTAGGGATCTTTGAACATCCGAACACTAAGCAGAGAGCCGGGAGTGGTGTATTCAGTGGATCTTGCTATTAAGATTGGACATGCCCCCTTCCCTCTATGTGCTTGAGTTTCCCCATATGTAAACTAAGGCCATATGGTCAATGCTTTCTATGGTATATGGTGAAAGATTTCTCACCCCCCCCCATCTCCTTCCTTAGTCCTGAGGAGCAGCCACCCTGGGGTCCCACGGAGGGTCACAGCCCCCATGTACCTGAGGCTCGGGAAACGTCATCAGTGCTCCCCTGCCGAAGCTTTCTCTCCAGCCTCTGCTGCCACTGCTATTGTGTAAAGTGGATTCCCTGCGGGAGGCTGGATCTCCCAGAGCCACAGCCATGCCTCCACCTCATCCCGACAGCACGGGGCCAGGGCCATCCAGCTGGCTTCCCTAGCTGCCCCAGGGGCCACAGAGGAAAGATGCAGAAGGATGGATATCCACATATCCCACGGGCGATGGAAGCCCCACCCTACTCTCTCCTTAGGGAGCTAATCTGAGTCTGGACAGATGTGTAGAATGCCGTGATAGCAACAGCCTTCCCACGTGTCCACTGCTCTCCAGTCAGATCACTTTCACAGGATTTTCAAGCTCACCACCACCCTGTGAGGAGAGACCAAGTCTTGCCAGCCACAGTGTGCAGGCAAGGAAACTAAGGCCCAGAGAAGTCTCTCCCTCTGGTATCCTAGTGGCAGGGCTAGGGCTGGGACAACCAAGCTCTGTTTCCAGGCCAGAATTTTGGTTTTAAAAAGCAACAGTCTAAGGCCAGGCATGGCGGCTCATACCTGTAATGTCAGCACTTCAGGAGGCCCAGGCACACAGATCATCTGAGGTCAGGAATTCAAGACCAGCCTGACCAACATGGAGAAACCCTGTCTCTACTAACAACACAAAAATTAGCTGGGCATGGTGGCACGCTTCTGTAATCCCAGCTACTCAGGAGGTTGAGGCAGGAGAATCGCTTGAACCCTGGATAGCAGGAGTTGCGGTGAGCCAAGATTTCACCACTGCACTCCAGCCTGGGTGATAGAGCGAGACTCCATCTCAACAACAACAACAAAAAAGATTAAAAGGAGAAACAGGTATGAGTGCTTTGTAAACAATTTGCATGGCACAGCTGTCACTCTGACCTCAAAACCCCCTACCCACTCTGGCCCCTCTTCCCAGGTGGGGGCAAGATGCCCCTTTTTTCTGCTTCATCCATCCCTTACCTCCAGGCCCCGATCTAATTTGCCTCCTCCCGGCAGTGTCAGCAGACAAGCTTAGCTCATATATGTTGCTCCCTTTCTGAGCTCCTGAGTATTTGCTCTCTGAATCATTCATTCAGCAGTTTGCTATGACTTGGCCTCGTGAGATCGCTCCATGGTTTTCCTGCGCCAATTCTGCGATGAGTAATTTATTGCATGTCTGTGTTTTGTCTGGAAAGGCTTTTTCTCCCTTAAATTTGGGGCTCAGATCTCGTATCTTGACAAATTATAAACTGCTTCTCCCTGTCCCTCTTTTTATTGTGTTCTCTTTCTCTACTTTTTCTTTTTTTTTGAGACAGAGTCTTGCTCTTTCGCCCAGGCTGAAGTGCAGTGGCACAATCTCGGCTCACTGCAACCTTTGCCTCTTGGGTAAAGCGATTCTTCTGCCTCAGCCTCCTGAGTAGCTGGGACTACGGGCACCTGCCACCACACTCAGCTATTTTTTTTTTTTTTTTTTAAGATGGAGCCTCGCTCTTATTGCCCAGGCTGGAGTGCAAATGGCGAGATCTTGGCTCACTGTAACCTCTGCTTCCTGGATTCAAGTGATTCTCCTGCCTCAGCCTCCCGAGAGGCTGGGGCGATAGGCGCCCACCACCATACCTGGCTAATTTTTTGTATCTTTAGTAGAGACGAGGTTTCACCATGTTGACCAGGCTGGTCTTGAACTCCTGACCTCGTGATCTGCCCAACACGGCCTCCCAAAGTGCTGGGATTACAGGAGTAAGCCACTGCACCTGGCCTAATTTTTGAATTTTTAGTAGAGACAGGGTTTTATCATGTTGGCCAGACTGGTCTCAATCTCCTGACCTCAGGTGATCCACCTGCCTCAGCTTCCCAAAGTACTAGGATTACAGGTGTGAGCCTCCTCGGCCGGCCTCTTTCTCTACTGACTTTCTAATCCCTGGCACTCCCACTTTCCACAGGATACTTGGAATCCATCAACAGGTGTCATTGTGACAAACAAGAAAAAGAAAATCGGATTGCTTTGTAATACCTGTTGGTGTGAAAATGTCATGACCCGCTAAGGTTTTTAGCAGAGGGGTCACCTGAATCAGCCCGCACAGCACAGGAACATGCCCCAGTCAATTCAGGGGGTCTGGTTGGGACCAGGAATCTATTTGAGAACAAAGACAGTTCAAGTACCTTATTCTATCACCCAAGTAAGCACTTCTTGTCTTTCCAGCTAGACAGGAAGTCCCTGATGGGGGTGGGCGAGGTGCCTTGTTTTGCTCTTCTCTGAATCGTCCACGGTGTCCAGCACATACCTGGCCGCAAATCTAGCGCTTGCAGAAGTAGCTGCGGCTTTAGTGTGAGATGAGGCTTTCTTTGGGTCCGGGAGGGAGGACTTGGATGGGCAGAGGGATCAAGAGGGTCAGATGTCTCAGGGAGGAGATGAGGGTCTGAACAGGGATGGTGGCAGTGACCCAAGTTTCCTCCACAGGGCTGGAGTCACCAGGCTGTGTCTAGGTTCTGAACTTTGGTTTTGGAAAAACAGCATTCTTCAAATCCAACAGCTGTAACAGAGACTGGAGCTCCCGAAGCCCAGGGTGGCTCCAGCTCAAATCCCAGCTCCGCTCTTTTGGCTGGAGGACCTTGGACAAGTCACCCTTTGTCTCTGAGCCTTGGTGTCTGTAGAGTGAGGATGACGATCCTCCCAAAACAATAGCTAAAAAGAGGAAGACAGGCTGGGAGTGGTGGCTCACGCCTGTAATCCCAGCACTTTTGGAGGCCGAGGCAGGCAAATCACCTGACGTCAGGAGTTCAAGACCAACCTGGCCAACATGGCGAAACCCCGTCTCTACTAAAAATACAGAAAATTAGCCGGGTGTGGTGGCACATACCTGTATTCCCAGCTACTTAGGAGACTGAGGCATGAGAATTACTTGAACGCAGGAGGCGGAGGTTGGAGTGAGCCGAGATCACGCCACTGCACTCCAGCCTGGACAATAGAGTGAGACTCCATCTCAAAAAACAGATAAATAAATTAAATGGGGAAGACAAAAAAGGAGAGCCATGTGTGAAAATGTTTGGTGAATGATTCACATAACACAGATGTCAGAGGTTTTTATGGTCCTTAATAGTTACTTTGCTGAAACCCTGCAGAGAGCGGGGCCGATGGTATATTTATAGGACTCTAAGATGCTCAGGCCTCTGCATCAGATTGGCTGGGAAGTGTCTTAAATGCAGATTCCTGGGCTCCAGCTCAGACATGTGGGATCAGAATCTCTGGGGAAGGGGAGGGCTTGGGGACTGCATTTCACAACGCTCTGCAGGTGATGCCAGTGCCTCCCGAGGACCACCGTGTCAGAGGCTGTGAGCATGCACACTCAAGTGGGCCTGTGCAAGGCACCAGCAATCCCTGCCCCAGGGCCTCACCATCCCCAATAATCCAGGGTGTTGAGCGGACCCAGAGAAGGGGATCCTGCCCAACCAAAGGCCAGCGAGGGCTTCCTGGAGGAGGTACTGGTGATGCCCAGGCTGAGAGGGAAAGGTGCAAAGCCTTCGGGGTTCCCAGGGCAGGTGGTGGAAGGGACAAGGCAGAGTCCAAGTCCCCAGGGAATCATAGTCTGGCAAGGGAGACACTGGGGGGCAGCGACTGGCAAGGGCCTCGGAGGGGAGTCCCTCCCAGTTTCCACCCCGTGGTTCCCAGTCTCAGATTCAACCCATAAGGGCTGGCTCTGCTGCCCACATTCCTGGGGAAGTGCTGCCACCTGGTGGCCATTACGAGAAACAGCTCCTGGAGCTCGCAGCCAGCCACAGAGCCCCCAGCTTTCCACACCTGCCACTGCTGACTCAGGGCTGCGGGGAGCTCATGGGTCCGTACAGTTTGTGGACAGCGGGTGAGCTGGTCTTGCGCACGTTGAGCTGTGCCTGGCTGCCCGCTCTGCAGCCACCGCTGTCCCCCCAGTCCAGGCCTGTAATCCACCCTACTTAAAGGTCCAGAAGCCGGAGTGGGTTGCTGGAATTCAGCTCAGTTCGTGGTCAGCAGGGAGATTTAAAGTGTGAGCTTTCAGGTCAATCAGACGACAGTGACCCTGGCAGCTAAGGCTGGGCGCCTCCTGTGCACAGGCCCAGTACCGAGCCATGTGGTGGTCCCACCGTCACTCATTCATTCACTCATTCATTCAGTACGTATTTACTGAGTGCCTACTACGTCCAGGTCACACACCGGGGAGTAAAGAAGAAAACACCCTGCCTTGACAGAGCCCGCATGAGTGGGAGGAGCAGGCAATCAACTCGTAAGTAAAGAATTGGCCGCTTCCAGCTGGTGGCAGATGCCAGAGATTCTATAAAAAGGAGGGGCAGGACGGCGTGTGGTGGCAGACGCCTGTAATCCCAGCACTTTGAGAGGCTGAGGCGGGCAGATCATGAGGGCAGGAGTTCGAGACCAGCCTGGCCAACATGGTGAAACCCTGTCTCTATTAAAAATACAAAAATTAGCCAGGTGTAGTGGCACACACCTGTAGTCCCAGCTACTCAGGAGGCTGAGGCAGAAGAATCATTTGAACCCAGGAGGCAGAGGTTGCAGTGAGGTGAGATTGTGCCACTTCATTCCAGCCTGGGCGACAGAGCAAGACTCCAACTCAAAAATAAAATAAAAAAATAAAAAGAGGGGTGGCAGAGGTGATGGGAGCAGGGGGTTCTTTAGACAGGCTTGGCTGAGAGGGTCTCTCTGCAGCAGTGCCCAGGGGTGCCAGGCAGGAGGCAGCAGGGCGTCCCTGCAGCAGATGTACACTGTCACCCTTGAGTGGCTGGAGAGGAGGCGGTGCAGCCAGCAGGTGCCAGTCCTGAGACCTT